CTGCTTTGAACATCATTTACTTTTTGCAGTTTCTTTTTCTCAGTTTCTTGTTGTCTACCCCCTCTCCATTTGAGTGCCTTGAGAGATTCCCATTGTGTTTGCATGTTTTGGCAATAGTGCTCATGCAATATGACACCTCAATAGGCTGAACACAAACATTGGAGTACAAGAGAATGGCAGGGTTAGGGAACAGAAGAATCTAAAGAGAATATAAAACAAGGTGAACATAGACAGAAAATGGATATGAAGAAAAGTAGTACAGTGAAGTGTGTGTAGTTTGGGAAACACATTGAAAATGACAAAAAAAGGAAAGAGAAAGTAGAGCATTGTAAAATACACTTGATGTTCCTGATGCTTTATTCAGTTAAAGTCACTGTTAGTTCTCACAAAATGAACTAACAGAACTTCATCTATATCTTTACCCCATGCCCAAGAATTGCTGACCTACAGCTGTGAAATTATATTATCATGTGTGTGTGTTTGCGTATGAGAAAGTAAGATCCTAGCTGTGAGAGCTTATTTTCACTCAAACAGAGCCTCCTGTGGGACTCTTGAATCCAACCGACTTCAAAGCCCGGAGGCCCTGTGGTGCATGATGACATCAGGAGCTTGACCTTAAGAGCGTAAGTGTGTGTGGACGAGAGACAGAGACAGAATGAATGCATGTGAGCTTGCAATTCATCTGCATGACGAGTGAGTGTGGAGAAGCTGTGCTGGAGCGTGCTTGAATTAAGTGCGAGTGTGTGCGTGTGTGGATGTGTGTGTGTGCGTGTTTACCTGGTCTCATTGCGGCAGTGGTCTGTTCCACTCTGGGCAGGGTGGGGGTCACGGTATCAGGTATAGTGGTGGTTTCTGTCAAAAGGGGAAAAAGGTTAAAACTGAATAAATTAAATTAAACAGAAAGAGATGACATTGCAGAAAATATTTACAAAGGTTGGGTGGGCTTTTTCTATGGTCGCCAGGTTTTTATGTTTTGACATTGTTATAGAGTGCTTTGCAGTGGCCCTCTATAACAAGTTTGTATTTCCACAACGGCACCAGCTATCAGCTTCATGAGCTAACAGCATGTTAGCTAACAACAACTAGCTAACAACCATACACTGTATATAACAATTGGACATCCTCAACATGACATCACATAGTGGTTTGTGGACTACGGGTTGGAAGCCTTGAGTTTTGGCATTTTGACATTGTCAACTACTATTGTTTAACACAAGAGGGTAGAGCTAAGTACAACCAAATGCTAAACAAGAAATGTTTTGGTCAATAAAATGTTTATACTAACTTTTACATAGATAGAAAAAAACATTGTAAAAGGGTTAAAAACTAGTGATTAAGACCATAAACTCATGAGTGAAATATTTACTTAGTTATTAAATCACGTGAAGCAGAGTCATTTTCTCAAGTAAGTTGGGACAATGAAGGATATTCAATAACCAAATTCAAGCTCTAAACATTCACAATTTGTTCTACGGCTGCTTCACCGCGCTGGGACAAAACTTAGTGCAGCAGCGAGGCAAAACCAGATTATGATTGTATACAGTAACTAATGATGTTTGTACACACTTCACCGTCGATTTCTAGGACTGTGCATTAGGGTGAAGTCTGTCGTGATCCAGAGTGAGCTGGCATCAGCTTAGGACTGTTTCATACCGCTTCACCCACTGCAGCTTGGCACACAAAAAAGCCCACAACGCTATGATGATAGATGCTGCACTAAAACTGACCTTGGTGCACAGCAGCATGCGACCAGTGTATGATAGATCAAACACACACACACACACACACACACACACACACACACACACACACACACACACACACACACACACACACACACACACACACACACACACACACACGTCAGCAGTGGGGTATGTCGGTCTAACCCCAAGACCTTCTGGTCTTAATAAGCAGTTTTCTACCGTTGGTCCCTTGAACAGCCCTGAATGCTTCACCAGCTCCCTCTCACACACACACACACACACACACACACACACACACACACACACACACACACACACACACACACACACACACACACACACACACACACACACACACACACACACACACACACACACACACACACACACACACACACACACACACACACACACACACACACACACACGTTGAAGTAAGTCTATATGTTGACGTCAGGGAACAGAAAATTGTCTGGCTCGTGTGGCGCAAGGCTCCACGCCGCAAACCTCTTGCCAAATTATTCTTAGAAATTAGTTATTTCTCTCTCTTATTTTCTTCCATTCGTTTCACGTTCTGTCTTTCATTTCTATTTCCTCCCTACATCAGTCATTCGGTGCTGCAAATCCCCTCCCTCTGCCTCTCTCCTCTCTCTCATTTGTCACAATAAATATGACCAGTTTCAGTCCTGCTTTGAAAAGCCACCATCAGCACCGCAAAAAGCTCTTTCTACACACACACACATGTGCTCTTTCACGTACACACGCAAAGTCGATCTCGCTTTTTGTGAAACCCTATCTACTGTTGTTTCTGTTTTACCACAACCGCAATTTTGTTCCCCATAACTCTTACTCTCTGTCATCTCTCCCTGAGGCATATTTTGATTTCCAGTCATCCTTTTTTGCTTTTTTCTGCCCGCAGATCCTTCTATCATTTTTTGTTAGGACTGCCTCTCTTTCTTTTTGCTTTTTTTTCTGCGATCCCTCAACCTTTCAGCGCTTCCCTTCTGTGCTGTAACTCTTTCTGGTGTTATTTTATGTCTCCTATAACCGCCAACTCAGTACATTTGAGACGTTGATTTACTGCTTGTTTGGTTGTTCTAGATGTTTCCATGACTCACTTGGTGATATCTATGGGTATCTGCATGTATCTTGTTCAGCATGAACTCTTACCCTTTGCTAGCTTTTGCTAATAGCTCTGAGTTCTAATGCTCACAGTGAAAGTATGCGGCATTATAATGTAAGCCCAAACAGAGTGGTCTAATATCGCCGTCCCAACACACGCACGCACGCACACACGCACACACACACACACACACACACACACACACACACACACACACACACACACACACACACACACACACACACACACACACACACACACACACACACACACACACACAGAATTAGATATCAACATTGGATAAGTAGCTCCCAGCTGCTGACATTAAGCTGTTTTAATTTGGTGCCCTTTACCACTGTAATTAGCCCCCCATATGGAAGGAAGAGAGAGGAAGGAATGGAGATGAGGAGGAGAGACGAACAGAGAGAGAGAAGGACATGGAGAAGGGAACAGAACCCTTTCAACCTCTCACCACCATTTCCCTAATTAGTGACCACACACAGCTCCTGTCAGCCTCCCGTTTCTAACTCCATCCCCTCTCCACCCGTCTAATCCAATTTTGCTCTCAGTCTGTCGTCTCCTGTCCTGTTATTTCTCTCTCTCCTCTTCCTCTTCTTCATCTTCCTACCCCCTCTCCTTTCAATCCATCATGGCTTTCTCAGTCGCTACTGTAAAGGTCATTGAACTAATACGAATACATTACTTTATAATTAAACTCTTTTTAAATGTGCTACTGTAGTTTTTTATGGTATGAACTTTTCAACTTGCTTTTTAATGTAATGAACTATATGTGACTATGGGTGCTTTTAGAAGCCATAGTCCATTTGGCTACTTTGGTCCTTTTTCCGATTAGTGCTGTTTACATTTCACAGTACCAAAATAAAAACTCTAATATTTTCTTATTGGCCAGAAATGTGTTTGTGTACAATGTAATCAAAAAGCGCTGAGAAAACACTAACTTGATCATATTGGCAGTGATCCTGCTTTGATGCTCCCACAAAACACAATTTGGAGAGCGTTCAGAACGTACGCCTCCAGTAAAGGCTCCGGGTTCTCAACAATATGTTGATCCACAATTTCTAAATAGGACATGCTGTGATCAGAGAACATTGTTATGGTTGACTTCCAGCAATTACATTGGATTATGTTCTCACTGAAATCACACCGTACTAGGGATGGTCGTTTTAGGCCGCACCGGATTACGATGCTTTCACGACTACAGTTTATTTAAAAGAGAATACATCTCTGTTTGTGAAAAGGCCAACACTGAAATATGCAAAGGCCAGAGTATGTGTACATGTCACTTGTATGACAAAACAGTCATCCATGTTTTAAACACAAGGATTCAAGGAAACACCAATCTTTACATCTTTGGTTTGCAGATGGGTCATCCTAAACACAGCTGAATTACAGCAACCTACCATGATTCCCCATCTCTTTCTTTTTCTCTGCACACACCTCAAACTGAGAAACAGTAGGTGTTCTGCTTACCAGATACACACAGAGACACACACACTGTCATAGGCCCATGGGCTTATTGTGAAGCTGCTGACTGAGCAGGGCGAGGCGGAAACAGAGAGACGAAAACTGTTCAATTATGGAAAGAGCTCTGGGTATAAATCTACCTCTGTCAGCCTAAATAATGACTACTGACACAGTGTGGGGTATGGTGTGTGTGTGGAAGAGAGAATGTTGTTCCTGCTCAAATTATTGGTGACATAGTGCATGTGTGTGTGGTAAGGGGTTTCCTTTACTTAATGACTATGTGATTGACTGTTTTTTTCTAATAGGAAACTCCACCTTTAGGTAATGAATACTAGCTATGATTGGATAACATATCTACAGTAGGATAATCACTCAAACCGATTTGTATCTGAATACGGGAATCGATCAAGACCTTATGATATACAAAAAGTGACACATTGGTAAAGAGTAGAGAATTCATTCTTATTGATAGGAAACTAGGAAAAGCCAAAATGTAGTCATGGAGTACCAAGAATAAGACTGGTAAATGTTATGGTTTGAAATGTAATGAGATGTGATTGTGGAAAACAGAATGCTTTTGGATGAAAGTAATCGCCAGTCATCTGAATGGCAAATCATACAACTCTACTTAAAAAACCAAAAGTGCAGTTTCAATTTATACGTAGCTTTAAAGTGCGAGCCTAATTATGGCTCGCAAGGCCCTGGACATTGCGACGGATAACTGGGAGAGGCTGGCGGAGGACCGGACGAAGTGGCGCCAGCAGCTGCGCGAAGGTGGTGACAGACTTGACAAAGACTGGATTCGTGGACTTGCTCAAAAACGTGGACATACTGTATCTCTCTGATTGCACTGTATAATCTCTTGTAGATTTTCTTGCCAATCAAAAAAAATAAAATGATGGCTCCCTCTTCAGTATATGAGTGGGTGGGAAAAGGAGTTCTTTACAGCAGGAAACTCTATTGAGACTAACTGCCTAATTAGCCCATTGTACAGCGAGCTACCAATAATATTTGGTTTTAAGATTATGTGCTGCACTGGACCACAAGTTCTGACGATTGGTAGACGTGGAGAGAGAATTTCTGTAACCTAGTATTGGTGATATTACACCAAACACATGACTGTAGTTAAATCACCACCATAATAGAGCTTAGAGTGTGGCTAAAAAAAGAGCCGAGCCATGAGCTACACAGTTGTGTCACTAAAAGCACAAAAGCTCTTTATGTGAGGAAACTACAGACAGAATTGCTCATTAGTCCATTGTGCAACAAAGCACCACAAGGTATGTGACTGCAATTGTAGCCTTAAGTGTGAAGCTAAGTACGACAACAACTGAGATGATAAAAAAAGGCTGCCGGCAATGAATGGCAAACTACATCAGTGAGCAGTAGTCAGCTACAAAGGAAATGAGTTTAAGTGTGGCAGAAGCCATTAAGCTAAGTATGCCATTAACTGCTCTGAAGAAAAGAAAGACAGCTTTCTTGTTCACCAAGCAGTAATATGTTCACAAGGAGATGATTACCAAGGCTCAATAAGTACTTTTCGGCCATTTTTAATTACAGGTAGATTGACAGACTTTATGTACATTTTGGGTAGTGGTTGTAACACTTACAAATCTTTTGTATCAGGAACATTTCAGATACTGTATATCATCTAATTTTCAAGGGGGACCCAGTAAAATGGCAATTGTATCCCTTTTGTATTATACACACAGAAGCCAACCAACATCAGAACAAGCTGAAACATAAATGGTTATTCTGTGTACTGTTTGAGAGTGAATGCTCGCCTCAATACAGTAGGTGTACATTTTGAATTAGAATGTCAACAAAATTGTATAAGAATCTAACATCAGAATATATTGTCGCATTACCACTATAGAACGTCAAGACTTGATTCAAATCACTTAAGACAATTCTAGTTTGGTTTCCTATTGACAAAGGTTATGGATATTACATGTTTTCCAATTTCCGCCTGTATTTATAGGGTGCTAACCGTAGTTAAATCTAAATTGAGAAACGTACCTGATACTGAAAGCATCACAAATCGAGCTTTACCATGCAGTGGAATTTAGGCATTGGACCCAACAGTTGATTTATAGATGGACAGTTGGAGGCATAAATAGTCAGATAGAAATAGAGAAGAAAATGCATAAGTTTCTGGGAAATTCTGCAAAACGGTGGCGAGCCAGACCCTTATTATTTATACTGGAAGAACACAAGCATTTCTGCGTACACAAGCCCTTATAAACACATATGCACCCACAATGAACCAATGCCCAATCCGAAGTGTTTCCATGTGTTTTTATCTAAAAAATGAATAGAGGGAAGTCATCCACTTAACTGTCCTCCTAAAGTGAACAAAGCATGATTGTATGCTGTATGGTTTTAAAAACCTTCAGAAGTTCTTTGGGTTAGAACAATCATGTGTTTGGGAACTGTACAAAAGTTGATAGGTGGTTTGGCTCTGGAGTTATGAAACATTTTCTACTGTGGGAGAACTTTAGCTTTCAAAGATAGCACTGGTGACAGGTTTAAAAGGCTGTGGTAGATGAGGGATAACATGAAAGAAAGAAGGGCCCGTAGAAACGACGTGAGCAAAATGAGGGCAAAGAAGAGAGGGATACAAATCCATGGGGGTAATGAGGTCAGGGGAGAAGGGAGGATGAAGACGTAAAAGAAAAGGAGTGTAGGTGTGCACCTGTGTGTGGTGGTGGGGTTGTTACAGGAGCCTTGGCAGGAGACAGGAATTATTACATTCTTCTAATGGGGAGGGAGTCAAAGGGGCGGAAACGGAGTTGGTACTGCTAACCATTGATTGCCCTTTTAATAGTATTAGAGATACCTATTACTAGTATAAACGGTATATCTTAATAAGCAATACATAACTAAATGCCTATATTTAATAGTATACTTCTTTGCAGAAAGACATGACTTAGACATGACTTGCAAAGGAGGACCAAAGGAGAGAGAAGAGTAAGTAAGGACACATCCCACCGATCCCATCAAAGTATCTGGACCGGAGCCACAGCTCACATGTGAAACCTATCAGCAATGTTGTACAAGGGAAACACACACAGACACACACTCTTGGCTAAACCTGAAGGATTGGCTGGAAAACTGGAACAGCGGAACACCTAGAGAATGTTTTAGATAGAACAAGAACTCTAAACAACATTACCTCCTGTGCCACTATGGTGATGGACATGTGGATGTTTGTGTGAGTGTGTGTGTGTGTGTGTGTGTGTGTGTGTGTGTGTGTGTGTGTGTGTGTGTGTGTGTGTGTGTGTGTGTGTGTGTGTGTGTGTGTGTGTGTGTATGTGTGTGTTTGTGTTTTCGAGAAGATTCAAAACTATTAGCATCTGAAATGGTGACGCAGTGAAGTTTCTTGGTTATATTATAATCTCAGTATTATTTAACAAGAAACCGCTAGGATTTGTCACATACAAACATCTCTTTTTTTTTAGGTAGCTCCCCAAGTTATCCAGATCGTCAAATTTGCAACACTTTGCTATAACTGGCCCAACTTAACAAGGCATGGGATAGGATTACACCAGCTGTATTGTAACGGCCCATTGGGCTAGCCATGTTAAGTGGAGGGACCAATGGCTCATCTTCAATTCCTTACTCGGGCCACCTCTTTTTGGACTTGTGAATTGAGTCTTGAGTTGAGGAAGCTTCATTTCTGTCAGGATATGTTTGGTAGTGTTTAAGGTTTGGAGACAAGTGAGGATTCATCATCTAAAGAGCAGCAGCAGCAGAATGAAGACAAAGCTGTTGGAAACAACTCAGAGACAGCGGACACAAAGCCGCCTTTCTCTCGCTGTATTTCACAGTTTCTCTGTTATTTTGCCCTAGTAACACTGCAGTTTTCTATGGAGATGAAAACATAAGCATGTATTTACACAACTACGAACAAACCTTTTTGTTTATGCCAAACAGGTGGTGTGTGTGTGTACTGTACATATCTGCCTGCCTGCCAACAACTAGGTGTGGAGTGAAAGTGATGAGAGCATAGCAGATGTTCTGATAGCTCGGTCATTTAAAACTGAACAAAACTGGCAGCTTGGCAGCTCTCATCATCCAATAGTCAGGGGTTACAATTCCTAAATTACATGTTGCCTCCAAAGCTAGCGTGAATGATCAGAATGAGTTTTGCAATAATATTCTGGCTTTTGTTTCTTTTTTGGATTTGCCACAAATAATGAGATGCTAAACTGCATTGTTGTGTGCCCTGTAAGAACCCTGTATCCGTGATTTGGGATTTCTTCATTGTAATTGGGTGCTGAGATTGCCCGTGTGGGGAAATTGTTTTACAGCCCCGAAGCGAGGTCAATGCACTTCATTTTAAATACAAAACAATACAGGGGCAATACCGTAATGGAAAAGCAATTTGTGAGTTTGTTAAAGCTGATGTTTAGAGGATACAAGGTGTGTGATTGGCATGGTATCAGATTGGCTTTGTCTCTAATGAACAATGCATAATCTAGAATGTTAAGCATGCTGCCTTCACACACATACAGTCCATAATACTTCTGATGTATGATACACAATGTATAGCAGTAGACTGGCAATATGGATGGTTAAATATGTGAGTAATTCATACGATCTCAAATGGTTTTAATGGGCGCAGATTTGTTATTTATGTCAGGGTACAGAGGCCTGAAAATAACTACTGAATAATGGAAAAGCCACTCTGATCGCTGCATCCACTGCGGGCTGGTCTGTGTGTGTGTGTGTGTGTGTGTGTGTGTGTGTGTGTGTGTGTGTGTGTGTGTGTGTGTGTGTGTGTGTGTGTGTGTTAGTGTGTCAGTGAACATGTGATTTCCCTACACTGCGGATGTCTCCTTTTCTTTATTTATCGATTCATTAATTCCTTTACTTCCTGAGCAGCACTGAGCAGTACTGGGACATGCTGGGTTGTTAAAACTACTTCCATCCTGTTTTTTGAAGCGCGGAGGCTTAAGCCCCTGTCACACTGTCCCAAAATTGACAACCGCTGGACACACGATTAAGGAAATGTTCAAATTCGGCTCTGATCGTAACAACATCGGGCCATTCGTGAGGGCATCTTAAGCCATCGTATGACCGCCGGTGGAGTTTCTCAGGCTCCGGCAGCAACTTCGGGAGCGGTGGCAACATCTTTGGCATCACAAAGCATTGCCGAAGGAC